CAGATGTTTACTTCATCCCAATTACAAGCAATATAAACAGCATATATGGTCAAAATTTGCCCTTTACCTTTGTTAGATCACATTTATGAAATAAAGTGCTACAACCTTGTGCAAGAATGGCAGGGGCAGAAACACAAAACTCACACTTACACTCTTACAGACTCTCTCTCACATACACACACATATACTAATACCAGGCCCAGACAATAGGAGAACAGAGTGAAGGTACACAGGACCTAAAATTTCCACTCTTTTACTAGCTCCGGATCCAGTGGAGCCAAACATCCTGTATGTAATATAAATGTGTGTGTGTGGGGGGGGGATATGTAAAGTGAGTGGTCATTGAAAATTTGTTCTGATATATGTTCTTCACAGAAAATGAGCCAAGGTCAATGAGTCCGAGTTTGAAAAAATAATTAATAGTACCATTTTTCTTTTGATAAAAAGTGAAAACGGGTCCCACAGACCTGAACACCAAGGGTTAAATATGTACATTGCCTATAAATAAGTTTTAATATATAAAGCTTTAAAAATGACTAAACGTTATGTATTTTCTTTTGAGCTCTTTGTGAAAATATATAAAATATTAAATTCAGCTGATTCTTTTGCATAGTCAGACATTTTTTTTCTGCTGCCTTCTAAAACGTTTGCTGCAGCATCTGTGTTTATTCCTGCCTTGTAAATGCATTTAAATTAATTATATTTTTAACAACAACAACAGCTCTTTTTTAACAGAGAAGTGAATTGCGCTGACTCTCACAAGAAGTGAATCAAACTGAAGCTCTCCATGTTTCGTGTGATTGGCTGTTTGCTGCACGTGTCACACTTTCAGGTACACACACTCCAGAGTTAATCACAAACTCTGGTTCAAACTCTTTGAACATTTGACAGAGAACATTTAAATCGAGGTTTGTAAGCCCACTGATCCTGATCTAAACCAGATTGGATTTGTCTGGTTTTGTCAATTCTAAACCTACTCTGAAACTCAGAGTTTGTTCATCTTCCTTCGTGCTACAGGCCACTGGCTGTCGGTGACTGGACTTGCATGTTTTTTTTCCCACAAGTTCCTAGTTTTTCCAACATGTTCACCACCTCTGATTTAAGAAGCAGTCTTTTACTTTATTTTAGCTTGAAAACCAAATCCTCCGTCCGCCACCATTTCCTCGATATTCGCGATATTTTTGCAGCGTGCTGCTCGCACCTTCATGCTCGTTCTGACGCTGCACATATAAGCCAGGCTCTACACCTGAAGCGCTTGCACTGAAAGCGCCTCTCTTCACGTGATCAGTGAATTCTGACTCCTGCTACAATGCGCCGCGGCTCTGCAACGTACGCCATATGGAGCAGACGCATTGGAGCAGTGCAGACCATACACTCGCACAAATGCGACCACATCAAATTTTAACTCACACATTCTCAAAAAACTGTCGCAGTCTAGAGCCCTGGAAAGTATCAATCTATTTTGCTGCTCACTATGTTTCTAATATTGTTGTTAAAATTATCGCATCATTACATCTTTAGCGGGGTAGCAGAAAAGGCTTGAATGATGCAAGTTTGGCTTTAGGTAAAAATACAGGATACAGTGCTGAATGATCATTGCCATAAACAACCCTGGTCGATTGTGGTGTATACGGCCCCGTTGTTTTAATCTGCTGCTCACTTTAAACTGTAAAATGGTGCCGTGTCCACTGTTTGAGGATGCCTGATCTATACTGATTTTAAAATGGTGGTTCCATTTTTTGAGTGAATGCACTCCCTGATAATATTATTTCAAAATGTACAAAAAACATGCAAATACAAGACTATAAACCACAGACAAAATAAAACTCGAATATAACAATGTAAAAAAAATAATAAAATAATAAATAAAACTGATAAAACATTACAAAATTTAAAATATTTAAAATATACAGTATATAACCAGTGTCATGGCAATAGACACTGTACTGATTCACTGACACTGTGCAACCCATTGTGTCTAACACAATTCTGTATTTTCAACAAATGCTGGCGTGATCAGATTTAGCCACTTTGGGCTGCAAAAATCAGGGGGAAAAAGTACCAAAACATTCTAGTTGGATTGCTTTACAAACCTCTAATAAGCCCCGACAATAATGGAGACACAGCAGTGTTGAATACTTCCTCCTGCTCTGTTGTGGGGTCAAAGACATAATCATAGGTGAAAGCCTTGTCATTGCCAACGATCACCTAAAAGGGAAACAGGATTTAATGAATATTTAACAACATGACTTTTTGATGCATAAGTGTGAATGAAATAGGCATGGTCTCATGACACAGACCTGAGGTTCACCGGGTACAAAAGTGAGACAGCACTGACATCCTTCATTGATCTCTTTGGGAACCAAAGGCCGGCATCTCAGCGCAACCCTTACAGGAATTACTTTCTCATCCTCCTTGGTCATACTGGAAGAACAGATAAAGTTATATCACCAATTAGCCTACTACCTGAACTCACATATTGTCTGAAAAAGCCAGTTTGCACAAAGGAAGACAAGCCCAGACTGGTTATTTAAGCATTACCATTATCTTTTTTAAAAAATTTGTTTAAGCATCAGTCTGTTCAACCAAAGACACCAGGGATCTCCTGTTGCACAATGGTTGCAGCTAATTGTTGTGAAAAGAAACAAACAGTAAGTCATACAAAATTGGTCACTTAATTTTATACAAAACCCAAATCAATATATCTAAATCAATATCAATTCAGTCATTACAGCACAATAATAAAATAGGATAATAATATATCTTCAAGAACTACAAAACACCTTTCAGTAGCATTACTTTTTGGTATAGAATGTGTTCTACCGAGTTTGAGGAACACGGAGTGTGGGGATGCACCGATCGACTGGCCAATGTGGCCATCAGCCAGGGCTGCGTTTCCGGATAGCATTGTATGCCTAAATTGATCGTAGACCCATTGCCACCAATGGAGCTACGATCAACTTGGGCTTATGGTGCTTTTGGGAAATGCAGCCCAGGATTGGACTGATTTTGCTTCAAACATGGCAATCGGAATCTGCCATGAAATATCATGCCCAAAACTAAGCACTCTCTGTAATTCACCGCTTTCATGTGTCATAAATTTAGAAATTCACCAAAATGTATGGGTTAATCCTGGTCAGCAAGGGATATAGATGAACACTATGTTCAACATCACTAATTGCCTGCATATTAATACTATGGTAGCCTTTTTAAACTATGGCTCATGGGATGTAGGTGTTGTGTTCCATCGATGGCTCACACTACTTTTCATTTGGAAATTTTGATTATTGTATGTCTTGAAAATCCTAGTTTCTTCAGCAGTTCATTTACAAAAATGACTTCCAGTGGAAGTATCTCTTATTACCATTCATAAAACCACTGATTAAAGTTTGCCATAGTAGAAGTCAAAGTCAACAACAAACCACTTATGTGGTGCAGCTGACTATTAGACATACATACATACATACATACATACATACATACATACATGTCATTCAACATGGATTGCAAGTTAGCCAAAGGGATATAAGCCTTACTTTTTGGTCCAAAATAGGTTTGTATGCAACTGATTTAACATCCAAGACTAGTCTTTAAGATGTAAGACAATAAAAACAGATTTATGCAACAAGGCCCTTAGGCCTGAACGGAGTTAATGCCAACATCGTGCAACTTCATATACACATTTTACATACAATCATACATCTGCACTAAACAACACACAAACAAACAAAACAAGGAGCTGATACAACAAAAAAGTAAGTTATGTTTAAAACGCATGTCATTTAGTTACGTTACCTTCCACGCTGCAATCTGTTGTTGTCGTGCTCGAGGAGTAAAGCTCAGTAAAAGTTCCTTTTAACACAAAATCGAAAAAATCTTAAATAAGATAAAACGATCTTAACCGCACTCCCAAAATACCGATATTTTATGTAAAGACAGACTTCGTTAACCGTTTCTGTCATAAAAATCCGAGAATCGCTGTTTCTCTACAGAAAGACCCTGCCCGCCACTTTCAAATAACCAGCTCCGCCTTTGACGTCTTCTTCTTCTTCTTCTTCTTCTTCTTCTTCTGTGGATTTATTGGCGGGTCGCATACCAGCTTTTAAGGTGCATACCGTGCATACCGGTGCTGGAGTGTGAAGTGATTTCAGTCTAGGCATATATTATGAATTCTATATGCTATTCTTAAGTCCACTATTCCTAATGAATTTTAAAATTGTCTTTATTATTTTACCACATCCTTGTTTTGTGTTTAATATGTTGCAAATTGAAAATTCATTACATCCTAAGTTCTGTAATTCTCTTTGTAGTTCATTCCTTTCCTGTTCATACCTAGGACAGAGTAACAACACATGATCAACTGTTTCCTTTACTTGGCATGTTTCACATAATTTCCCAATTTTTTTTTTTATTATTTTTTTTTTTATTCTCTCCCACAAATTAGTTATTTTAAGGAACT